ATAGTTTTAACTACACCTTTACTTAGCCATAGTGGGATATGTTCTCGGGTGAGCACGAAAAATCAAGTTCCTAGAGCAACGGCCAACATAACTCGCTCCATGAATTTTCAAACAATTATTGATTAATTTCAGTGACTGATTTCATCCTGAACCAATATCAACCGGAGAATCATTGAAAACCGAGTAGCACTGGATTGCTGTTTAGTTATATTCTGGTTCGTGTTAACAGCGTCACATTAGAGGTTGAACTCAGGACCAAACTAGGAGGAAACAGCCGTCCAGTGATCCCTGAATTTTTAATGACTCTCTAACCGAGGTCTGGTTCGGTGATGGATTCTACGCTAAAATTTCTCTAAATCCCTATGAAAGCTATATTCTAAAAATGTATTGACTAGTTCCAGTATGAGACATCAGATTAAATAAGTAGAGCCGTTAATGGTAGGGTCGGTCATGTAGTGTATGATTACAGATATTCACCAATGACACTGGATGACGCTTGGGTTGTATCATGAACAGACAGAAGTTAGAATCCATCTAATATTGGATTCTGACTCAGTTGGTCATTAAATAATAGTGTTCAAGTATTGGTTTGTTGGGATTTGGTTGATTGGTTACAGGATTTCATCATGAGCTGACATTGGTTAGAGAACCATTGGAAAACCTGAATTTGCAGAAGTTAGAATTCATTAGCCATTGGATTGGGTCCCAGTGGCTGAATGGTCTACGAACTCGCCTTGTAACCAGGAGGTCCTGGGTTCGAACCCCGGTGGGTGCGTACTACTGAAGAGTCCCAAACTAGGACGAAACAGCTGTCCAGTACTCCCAGGTTTTCCAATGGTTCTGTAACCACTGTCAGCTCATGATGAAATCCTGTAACGAAATAGCAGTGGGCTTGCTACACAACCTAATGGGTGTGCGTTCAACACCTAGCGTTGTGCGCCTGCTAACTGCCGAAGTGGACCAAACGAGAAAGGAACATCTGTCCGTTGCTCGTCGCGTTTCAATATTTTATGCCTGTTCTGGATATATGATAACACCTACTACTTAGATAATTTACTTTGTTAACATTGAAGATAAAGGAATGAAAATAGAGAGGTAGATGAAAGTTTAAAAAGCCGACATTTAATAAAAAACATGATGATAGATAAAAAGTTTGAAAAAGTTTCTTTTTAACACATGAGCATGGCTTCTTCACAAAAAAATATCAAGAGTTACTGAAGTAATAAGTTATCTTGGATAGATCATTTTCAGAGGGTTTGTTTACTGTCTGTAGGTTACCTTGAACACCTCTGTAGTTGTGATTCTGTGACTAGTGTAAACAAGGTGCTGAACTATTCCACTTCTATCGAATCCCCTAGTGCCTTTGCAACGATGTGGGATAGTGTTCTTGGAGCTGTTTGGTAACAGCACACATCAAATGATTTGCATGCTTGGTTACACAGGATAACTTGAAGAGAAGTGTTTGTCTTCCATTTGCTTTCAAAGTTTTATTCATAGGATTATCAACCTAAGCTCTCCTTATTCTGTTTCCATGCCTCCATTGATCACCTTTTCCTGAAGAAAATATTTCTATGCATTGATCAGATCGCCAAATTACGGATCATCATTGAACAAAGCTTGGAATGGCAGTCACCTCTCTATCTCAACTTTATCGACTTTGAAAAAGCCTTTGACAGCGTCGATCGAGAGGTGCTTTGGCAAATATTACGCTACTGTGGGATGCCACCGAAAATTATACATCTCATCCAACAGGTGTACGACAATGCTGCATGCCAAGTGATCCACAACGGGAAACTCACGGAATCCTTCGAAGTGAGGACAGGAGTAAGACAAGCTGGCTGCCTACTATCGCCAATGATTTTCCTGATTCCAGTAGATTGGATAATGCGACAAACAGCGGGGAATAAGGAAACAGGCATAAAATGGACTCACACAAAAAACTTGGAGGATCTGAACTTCGCCGATGACATATGTGTGATTTGCCACAAACTGGAAGATATGCAAGTGAAAAGCAACAAGATGGCATAAGAAACATCCGGAAAAGATAGGACTTCAGGTGAACATAGAGAAAACAGAGGTAATGAAGATTCCTGGACAAGAACAACAACGGAAGCAACAACAACAGACAACGATCAGCATAAATGGAAGGAACCTGAAAGAAACAACCTCCTTCACCAACCGACCTGGGAAGCATCGTTTCAACTACAGGAAGACGGAACTGACGAGGATATCAAAGCAGCGAGGATCGGGAAAGCAAGACAAGCTTTCACTACTCTCAAGTCTGTGTGGAGGTCAACAGCATTCAGAATCAAAAATAAGATCCGGATTTTCAACTCCAATGTGAAGTCAGTGCTGCTCAATATAGGGATCAGAGACTTGCACTGCGCGTCATAAAGAGCATCTCAAACAAACTACACACCTTCATTAACAGTTGTCTTCGCTCAATACTTCGCTCAAGATCAGATGGCCGGCCAGAAAAGATCAGCAACAGGGAGGGATCTCTGGCAATGAGCGAACCAACTCAGCAGGAACCGATTGTGAAACAAATAGGCAGGAAGAAATGGAGATGGATTGGCTGGCCATACTCTGAGGAAACCATCAAGTGACATCACTAGACAAGCCATTGCTCGAATGGAACCCGAAAGGGAAGCGGCGAGTTAGTCGTCAGTGCAAGGGTGGGTGACTTGGAGGAGGTCATGTGAAGAGGAGATGAAAACGTGTGGGCAGATTTCGAGCTAGGTGAAGACTGTAGCAGAGAAGCGAACGCAATGGAGATGCACGGCTGAATCCCTATGTTCCTCTGGGAATTAAAGGAAACAATAATAATAATATTTCTATGTATTATGCAGCTGTATGTCAGATCTGTTAATTGTTTTGGTTTCAGTACCGTCTCGCGATTGACAGTCACCTTTGTTTCGCTTGTCTCAAAAACTGTAATCTCTAGTTATCCTTGATGCCTTTTAGTGAGACTGCTCAAAGTTACGAGGTGAAAATGTATAATACTAAAATCGTACAGCAGGTGAGTATTAGGTCGAAAAAAACATAACACTCCGTGGCCCAACTTATTGTTTTCTTTCTGGTGTTCTGGTGAGTATTTTCCATAATTTGAAACCCAATCAACTGATTCATTACCTCTTTTTCTTACGTCAGTATATTTGAATTGAGAAATATTCGTCTGTGAATTATCATTCTTTTTAAGGAAATTTAACCTACGATCTACACAGATAGAACTCATTTTGGAACATGATAGGATCATGTTACAAAAGATTGAAAAACTTTTTCTCGCAACATGTTATACGGTCATCTATGTTATTTGAATTAGAAAACACTAAATGATTGGTTATCCATGACACTCTACGTAAATGCTTTCGAAATGTGACTTTCTACTTATAACAAATAAAGTAGTATAATTTCCAAGAGTTGTTTTGTAAGAATTAGATTTGTTTTTCTAATTTGACCAAGGATTGATATCAGTTAGAGAACCATTGAAAACCGGGGAGTACTGGACATCTGTTTTATTCCAGTTTGTGAATCATCGGCAATATGCACCCACACCACTGGGTTTCTAACCCAGGACCTTCCGGTTACAAGGCAAGCTGGCTCGTATAACATTCAGCCACTGGAACGCAATTCAGTGGCTAGCCCATGAATTCTAACTTCTAGCAATTCGTGATTTAGCGTGACCACCAATCAATGTCATCGGTGGGATATCCATCCCCACACTCGACTGGATGGACATCACTGGTGAAAACTTCTCACTAGAACTCCAGGAAACTCCGTCCTGTGGCAAGTCACTAACGAGCATCAGATTAATTTTCAAAAGTTTGGTTTGTAAGGATTAGATTTGTTTTAGTAAAAAGTTCAACAAGAAAATATGGGAAGACTGATTCATGAACAAAACCTTTTTCCGATTACATCATCAGGCTTTACAGTTATGAATTCATAATAAATGAAGAATTATTGTTATTGACAACATCGGAGTTTTGTAAGATAATAGCGCTCTCGGGAACACCTACCAGTATGGCTAAATAAAGGTGTAGTGAAAACCATCAATAGTTCGAGTTAAAACCACCTCGCCCAGACAGGCAATAAAGCTAGCATTGAAGAATCATTTTCTGTCATCTGTACTGTACCATATAAATTACCAAAATCCTCTAGGCACCAAACAATCCAAACAGGAGAGGCTATTGCAAATGATTTGAAACAGCCAATGCTCTGTGTGTACAAATGGAACCGGTCCAGACACTATTCCTATCCTGACCTGCTGTGGAATCTATAAATTCATAAAATCTATATCTTTTCGCAATTTTTAGATATGACCTTCCATCCTGCATGTATAAATTCCCCTAACCTTTGTAATGGAAGGGCACTTCGAACAAACTACAGACCTTCATCAACATCTGTCTTCGCTTAGTACTCAAGATTATATGACCGGAAAAGATCAGCAACACGGATCTCTGGGAACGAACCAACCCAGTGGGAACCAATTGTGCAGTAAATATGCAGGAAGAAATGGAGGTGGATTGGCCATACCCCGAGAAAACCATCAAGTGACATCACACGCCCGGCCATCGGTCGAGTGGAACGCAAATGGGAAGCGGTGAGTTGGTCGCAGTGCGAGGGTGGGGTGACATGGAGGAGGTCTTGGGAAGAGGAGATGAAAACACGTGGTCATACGCGGAGCCAGGTGAAAACGCTGGCAGAGAATCGAACGCAATGGAGACGTGCGGCTGAAGTCCTATGTTCCTCTAGGAATTAAAGGAAACAATAATAATAACTGTAGTTCTTTTGAATCTCTATTCTCTACCATGTGTGCTACATACAGTGTGACAACTTGAACTGCTATACTACTTCTATGCAAAGTTGAACTGCAATCACTCATTCAATCAATATTTTGAAATTTCTACTAGGCATCTTTAATCCGGCGAAACATCTGGTTAGGATCTATTTTGAAATGAATTATATCCCCTTCTTTTAATTTTTTTTCTTTCAAATTCCAGCTCAACCTAGTGTATGTCATTCAAGGAATATGAGACTTGGAATAGTGAATGGTGAATTCACGGGATTGTTATGTAAGTTTTTTTTATTGTTTCAAGAGTAAGAAATTGTGTTTAGCCATATAATTCTATTCATTAGTTTGTCTATCCGATATATCAGTTTTACGTGATTATGCACCGTCAACTGCTGAACTGTTACCGTCATCCTATTCACCATTATAAATGAGAAAATTAATACGGAATTTACATGTTTTCTAATTTTTTGAAAAAGTGGAAATGTACCTTTACACATGTGCGAACAAACCATTATTCTCCTAATTTAGCTTTGGTTGTTCACCTACACATTGACGCACATTTTTTTCTCCTATTCTGGCATTGATATTTGCTCATAGAATGTTTATAATCAGACGGAATAAAATTCATTTTGAGCACTAATCACTGTCATTCGTGATCATTTGCTGATGAGGATAAAAGCAATCGGGAGGTGATTTTGTGTATAGTATGGCGAACATCACAAACAGATATTCCAGCCGTGTGAAAAAAACCGATGAAACACCTTTAATATAGCTAGACGTAACAGCATTCCTCTAAACACACAATGTAAAATCATATATGACCACCTACTTGAGGAAATTCAAGTCATAAATGACAGTCTGCGTTCCACCCATTCGCGTAGGTGGAAAGGAAAGCTCAGCAAATTTGTTTGTGCGTCGGTGGCACAGTGGTTAGGACTCCCGTCGACCATGCACATGGTCCGAGGTTCAATCCCCTGCCAACGCACACCTGATATCTATGGTCGGCCTGCAAAATTCCGGCTACCGATATTACATGCTGAAAATTCCATATTTGTACCAAATATACGGTGTGGAATCAAGCTGTAATCAAAAATATTAAAAAACAAACTTGAATGCTCACTCATTGTTAACTTTGAAATCTAACGGTCAATTTAGTGCTATTGTAACAACAGAAGACAAGGGAAGCAACAGATAGTTTATTAATGTACATTATTGTAGATTATTGTTAGTAGAAAATACAGTCTTTTGATTGGTTGTTTCTCACAGAAAGTTAACCTTGCATCTCTTTGTGGCTGTGTCAGATCATCTATATGCTAACTGTATCCGCCTACGCAAAGCCTTTGTCTATATTGATATTACTTCTACCAATTCTAGCAGCCAGTTCAAACTATTACTATTATTATTATTCCTCTAGGTTCTGAGTGAAACATTGGGCTTCAGCGGCATATCTACATGTCACCTTATTGCCTGTAGTAATCTTTAGGTGGTTCCACGATTACCTGTTAGGTTCTTGTTTACTTATTTGCTAGAGTTCTTTGTCACCACACCTTTCTGGTCTGCCATCTGACCTTCAGTATGGAGAAGAGGCAGTTTGTTGATGAAAGTTTAAAGTTTGTCCGAAATACTTTTGGAGACACATCAAATCTCAATATTTGTGAATATCGGGAAGGCGAGAAACACATTCATCAACCTGAAACCAATCTGGAAATCTTCCTCACTCCTCAACATCAACAGCAAAATTCGGATTTTCAATACAAACGTCAAGTCAGTTTTACTTTACGGATCAGAAACTTGGTGGGTCACAAAGAATATTTTCAACAGGTTGCAGACCTTTATCAACAACTAACTGTCTTCGCTGGCTCTATACTGAAGATCAGATGGCCGGAAAGAATCACAAACAAGAAGCTATGGGAAGAAACGAAACAGGAACCAATCGCCCAACAAATATGCAGGAGAAAGTAGGGATGGATTGGACACTCGCTGAGGAGGCCGTTGGGTCACATCGCGCGTCAAGCCCTCGAGTGGGAGGTCCAAGGGTGACATGGAGGAGATCGTGTGATGAGGAACTGAAACAGTATGAAATAACATGGATGCAAATGAAAAGTACAGCAGAGGACAGAAGCAAGTGGAGGCGTGCAGTTGAAGCCCTATGTTCCACTAGGAACCCAAGGGAACAATAATAATAATATAATCTCATACACATGCTTTGAACTATAATTTCCTCTCATATTCACATGCCTCTCCGATTTTTCGTTTGTTTTAATGATTCAGCGTTATTTAAGAGGACTGGTGTTGTTAATGACAAATTTCCCTGACTAATACGTAGAGATAACGATAGAACCAAAATAAGCTATCGAAAAGAATATTCTTTGCTCACTGATAAGTGTTGTGAAGAATAGGGTTGTATCGAAGAAGTTAGAGTGTCACTGAGTTCAACAGAAAAGGCGATATTGCCCATTTTCCGTGAATGTAAACACTTTAAAATTAATTGAGAAGAATTCGGCTGATGCGTAACCAAAACTTTATTTGCTAATTGCTAGTTGGATCCACTTTATTACCAGTCCTCTCAGGTAGCTAGCCAGAATTCGGGTGATTTCAATTGATTTGGTTGTCTCAGTCGATTCAGACCTGATACATCGCAGTAGACTGGATAATGCGACAAACAGTGGGCAATGATGAAACAGGCATAAAATGGACTCACACAAAAAGAGACTTGGAGGATCTGCACTTCGCCGATGATATATGTCTGATTTCCCACAAACTGGAAGATATGCAAGTGAAAAGCAACAAGTTGGAAGAAGAAGCATCCGGAGAAGATAGGACTTCAGGTGAACATAGGGAAAACAGAGGTGATGAAGATTCCTGGACAAGAACAACAACAACTGACAACTATCAGCATAAATGGGAGGAACCTGAAAGAAACAACCTCTTTTACCTACCTGGGACGCATCGTTTCAACTACAGGAAGACGGAACTGACGAGGGTATCAAAGCAGCGAGAATCGGAAAAGCAAGACAAGCTTTCACTACTCTCAAGACTGTGTGGAAGTCAACAGCACTCAGCATCAAAACGGGGATAAGATCCGGATTTTCAACTCCAATGTGAAGTCAGTGCTACTCACTATACGGATCAGAGACTTGGCCAGCGCGTCATAAACAGCATCTCAAACAAATTACAGATCTTCGTTAACAGTTCTCTTCGTTCAATACCACTCAAGATCAGATGCCTGGCCAGAAAAGACCAGCAACAGAGATCTCCGGCAATGAGCGAACCAACACAGCAGGAACCGATTGTGAAACAAATAGGCAGGAAGAAATGGAGATGGATTGGCTGATCATACTCTGAGGAAACAAACTATCAAGTTACATTACTAGACAAGCCATTGCTCGAGTGGAACCCGACTGAATGGGAAGCGGCGAGTTGCTCGTCAGTGCAAGGGTGGGTGACTTGGAGGAGGTCATGTGAAGAGGAGATGAAAACGTGTGGGCAGACTTGGAGCCAGGTGAAAACGTTGGCAGAGAATCGAACGCAATGGAGACGCACGCTGAAGCCCTATGTTCCTCTATGAATCAAAGGAAACAATGATAATAAATAATACATCGCTGATGAGCTTAACTTCAAACAAGAGAATCGGCAATCCGCTGTTACGATCACTTCCGATTGGCTGACAGGCATTACTGGCCGATATGAATGGTAGCCGACAACTCACATCAACCAGTCAATAGTATGTAGTGCGATGAATACAGTTATCCTCGAATTGTCACTTCTCTTACTCATTCTCATATCTTTAACGTGATTTAAATAGTTAACTAACCATTATATATATACCTACCTCTTGCTTTTTTGAATGATTTGCTCACTAGAATCGTTACATTTAAGGTAGCTCGATAGAAGTCAATCAGCTCCTAGGGCTGGACAACGGAAAATTGGTTTCGCATCGTTAGGTCACGCTTACATGAGATTAGTCAACGTCTTGTAGTCTAGTCTAAGATAGCAGCGCTGATATTCAGTGGTGCAGGATACGATATCTAAGAAGGCATCAGTATCTTCAACTTCTAGACCCCAAGCTTCTCTTCTCTCGACCAGGATTAAAGACTGACACGGGTTAATTTCTGTATCATTTATCTTCATAACTACAAACGATGGCCACAATTGTCGTCTGACTTCAACTTTTTGTACAGTAAAAGATTTCATTTCAACTGGTCATTAGTTAGTTTAGTGAAATATCTTCATTCGAATACGATTATCTCGCTGAAACTCATCCAACAGGGATGAGTTCCACATGAAATTTATTCTCATCCTTACTTTTTATCCATCAGAAACACAAAATCCTTCATTTTATTCTCTTTTTTTTGTTTTCATCAAACATCCATACAGCTGATCCGTATGCCAATCGCCTGTTTCAAGAAACCTTGTTATCGAATCATTCTGGTCTTATCGCCTACTCAAGACGAAATTTATCCTTTCCAACTAGCATCAATTCAAAATGTGATCGTAATCATAATAAGAAGATTATACAAAAGAATATTCCAATAAATGAACAACAACACGATCAACAACGATCATGCACAACAGATTCTGTCTCTCCTGTCACTTCATCAGCTTCCTCGATTTTCCCTGCCTTCTCAACCAATTTGATTGTAAATCATCTGTCGAAATATTTGCCACTGAATCTTTCCATCATTCCTATTACCACCACTATTATTATTATTATTATTGGTACTACCGCTACTATCACTTCATGATTTATAATTTTCTTCAAAATTAGATAAGATTTTTTTCTATTTATTCCTTTACTTACTTAACCTTACTTCACAAGAACTGACCATGTGACCGGTTTCATTCTCCCTTCATTAATCAGTCAGCAAGCAACTCAGTACGCTTGTTACACTTCACTTATACAGCAGCATAAAGCTGAACACAAATGTGAAAAGTCAAGTTCGAGTTCTTATATAAACACTGTAATTAGACGTGTGTTGTATATTTCATTATTTCATTATAATTAACATACTTTTAAAATGATAAGTTTGTTTTCATAAAGAATACAATTGTGAAACTGAACTTACCTCTTTGTTCCTCCTCTTATTAGAATGATGATAGCACTATCGCTCTGGGGTAGTTTATTTCACACCTCCATGTTAATTAGGCCGACGCACTCCTTTACCTCGCTAAGTTAGATATAATGCTGGTGAAGAGGAAAGGTTGGGCATGAGGCTAGCAACCCCATCCTGTAAAATAAACACTGCTACAGAAACTTCAAGCCACTAGCTTGAAGCCCTATGTTCCACTGGGGAACGTGAAGGAAAAAAAATGTTAACTAGGGAAACTGGTAGGCATTGGATGCCTTTTTCGATACTGGTACACATTTGCTACACCTTGAGGGATTATACTCATGACTAGCGTATTTACTTACATGCTGAGAAAGTTAACGGTTCTAGATTTGATCCTTCTCTGGCCTGTATGAGTGAACAGACTAAGAATCCTGATCCAAAGTTGAAGAGTAAGTCTATTTCTCCTTGGTTGTAAATGTTTTTGCAGTCGATGTAAGTTCATAAAGACGTCCAAATTGTGAAAAAAAAGCTTTTAATATTTTTTTATCAGATGTGATTCAAGGAATTTACATTTTTATGTATGAACTGTACAAACAATCACTATGACATTCAAGTGTTGGTTTGTAGGGATTTGATTAGTTACAGGATTTCCGTCATGAGCTAACATTAGTTAGAGAAGCATTGGAAAACCTGGGAGTACTGGGCAGCTGTTTCGTCACACTAGTTTGGGACTCTTCAGCAGTACGCACACATCGGGGTTCGAATTCAGGACCTTCTGGTTACAAGGTGAGCTCGTATACCATTAAGCCACTGGAACTCGATCCAATGGCCCATGAATTCTAACTTCTGCCAATTCATGACATAGCGTGACCCCTAGCCAATGTCTTCGGAGAGTGTTTGTCCTCACACCCGACCTGCTGCACCCTACTGGTCATGACTTCTCACTAGAACCCTAGGTAACTACCTACCTGAATAGGGTAAGTCGCTAGTGAGCATCTCATTGATATTCAAGTGTTGGTTTGTAGGGATTTGGTTGATTGGTTTCATGATTTTCATCGTGAGCCGACATTGGTTAGAGAACCATTGGAAAACCTGGGAGTACTGGACGTTTGCATCTACTGTTTTCCTGGTAAATTATGGCAACGGTTTAGCCCGCAAGCAAAGTATTACATCGTACGTCATAAAAACTAAAAGAAAGAAGCCCCCGTATGTAAAATCTAATTAGCTGAAGTGCTTTCTTATATAACTTCTACAGAAAATAAAGACTTTATCAACTTGATGCTACTGAGTAAATAAACTTATCATCTATTTAAATAAAATATATCACTAGTGTGCCAAGTGGTTCACAAAGGAAAACTCAGATAGACCTTTGAATTGATAATATTCCTGATTGTGGCGGAATGGATTGTCAGGCAGATCATGGGTCGCGAAAAGACAGGCATAACTCGGATCAGCAAGTAGACTCTAGAAGATCTAAACTTCGCGGTTGATTTATGTCTGGTGTAATACAAACTTGAAGATCTTTTTTGATTGGACACTAGTCAGTAACTAGTGTAATGTATGTGTGTTGGTGTGTCTAGTCCTATCTTTGGTGCAGACTGAATTCAATCAGTCAAGTTTACAATGTGGCCACCATGCCACTAGGTGGCTCGCCATCACGGTGCACTGTGATTTGTTGGTATTAGATGGTTGGAGGCAATCGGCAGGAAGCCTTGTACCTAGGTTTCGTGCTAGTTGGCACTCACTAGCCAGCAAGGCGTATCTGCAACAGGTCAATCGCGAGCATGAATAGCTCAGTGGCAATGTCTCTGATTGCAGCACTGGGTGACTTGGGTTCGAATCTCAGAAGGGACATGAGTTCCTTCAAGGTTGCAGATACGCCTTGCTGACTGGTAAATGCCAGCTATCACGAAACCCAGGTCCAAAGCTTCCTGCCGATTGCCTCCAACCATCTAATACAAACCTGAAGATCTGCAGACAAAAACCAACAAGTTAGCAGAAGAGTTAGGCAGAGAAGACAGGACTTCAAATGGACATAGAGAATACAGAGTTGATGAAAATACCTAACCAATCAGAACAACAGATACCAATCACATTATCAACAGGAGAAATTTGAATAAAAGTCACTTCTCCCACTTATTTAGGCAGTCTCATTTCAAATTCAAGCAACACGAATGAAGATATCAAAGCCAGGATGGGAAAGGCAAGACACAGCCAAGTCAGTGTTGCTGTGTGCTTCAGAGACTTGGTGCACGCGTCAGCGGAAACATTTCCAAAATAGACTTCAGACTTTTGTCAACAGCCGCCTTCACTCCATAATGAAGACTGAATGGTCAGCTTGAAAGGATAATCAAGAAGGAACTACAAAAACGAACCCAGAACCTATAGCCCTATTAATGTACAGTAGGAAACGGAGATGAATTGGACTTACACTGAGTAACATCACACACCAGGCAGACGACAGGTTGGACGTCCCATGATGACGCACGAGAGGAGATTATGTTGGGGGAATTCATGCAGCCAGCTGAAAGTGATTTTTGCGAACCGAATAAAGTAAAGATTTACACTGTTGAAACCCTATGTCCCACTGGAAATGCAAGAAATGTATAAGAACGAGCAGTATTGGTGTCAATAATAGTGGCTTTTCGTCAGAAATAACACAAGCAGATGCTTACCGTACACTAGTCTGTCATCCATTGTGATTTGTTTACATTTAAATATCAGTAAAATCAACGAAATAACAAATAAATTTCATATACAAACAATACTCCATTCAATGTTCAATGTCATTCAAAGGAGCTTTTGTTGACTGGCGTCTTGTACAGAGTTAGTAGATATGCGTTACGCTTGTATTTGTTGGTCTGTTTACAGTTATGAATTAAGAGATAGCCTCTTATTACCGAATATCTTCAAATTACAAGTACAGTTGTGTTGGCTATTTTTTAGAAAAACATATTTGCTCTAAAAATGCTTATATTATGACTGTTGTTAATGATGTTTTATGATTTTGGATTTGGATTATTATTATTATTATAATTATTACACAACCGTTCTGTTTAACTCCGTTTATTTATAGACATATGCCTAAAGATGTTCGTTATCTGTTCGACTGGCTTTGTACAAGATAATAAAATCCTTCGACAATTTGCAGTAACACTTTGATGGTAGCCATTTCGTTCATCAGAGCTCCGAACACTCTGATGACTTTCTGTATGTGTGATATCCGTTGAATCAAGACACACTTGTTGAATAGATTTATCACCCCCGTTATTGTTAATAATTGAGTGCTTCTGGTTAACTTCATTTGAACAATTCACGTCATCTGCATTAAATATGGTATGAGTTGTATTTGTGATTGTTTCCATAGTTTCGGTTTCAGTGTACTTTACAGAGGGATTTTCACCGTCCTCTTCTTCTTCTGCTGCTGCTGCTTTGTCTGCCACATTCGGTTCGTCTGATGAATGTTTCCTTCTGGTTTCAAGTAAAGACGCACACCTAGCCCATCGGTTGTCTTTGTGCCGGAAGCCAGATATAATCTGTGCTTCAAATGCATTCCCTTTTGATAAACTCTCTGATCTATTCACCTCTTCCTCTAAATATTCAAAGAATATATCTTCGATAATACCATTCTTGACATCTGGTTCATTAGCTAGAACTGTGGTAGCTATACACTCAATTAGTCGGTCAACATCTTTCAGTGATAAATTTTGTTTTGTTGGCAGTTCAAAATTCAATTCTCCAATATCTTTTAATAAATTCTGTTCATCTGCTGTGATTTCGTCTTTTCGTCTATTATTTCGTTCATTGTATATTTTATTACAATTTGTAATTATTCTATTAACTCTTGAATAGCTTGTCTCGGTTGTACTTGTTGTCAGAATTGATGTTATTGCAAGATTTCTTTCGGAAATATCTTCTGCTTCGAATATATCACCATTATTTGTTATCGCTTGATAATTTATAGTCGGTGTAATACGTCCTGCACTGTTGTTGTCGTCACTATTATCATTAATTTTATTGTCATTATTATCATCATACACTCTGAAGTTCGAATTAGATGGCATGCTTTCTAAAGCATTATGCGTATTACTCATCTCTGGATCACCGGAAGTTGTTAGTCCAGTTAAAAGTGTGCTAGACCGGATCTGTATCGACTTATCCTCCATACTGTATTCAGCGTTAGCAACTTCATCATTACCACCGCCAGCATTCATCATCATCATCAATGGTATCATCTCCACTGTAAGGTACATTTGTAAAAGTAGTCCCGTTACCTTTCTCTGCTTCTATGTAATCTACAGGCTGAATTTTAGACATTTTCAATCTTTGTGTCTGTGAATATAAGCGCTGATGATCACCACTTGTTGACTTATAGCTAACATTAGTAGTACGCGCGGTATTAACAGGATCAGGATTTAATCTTAACATGTCTCCAGGTATAATACGATGTTTACACAAGTTTTCACATGTAGGATGACATGATTTTTGACACAAAGATCTCTGATAGCAACAAGATACATTCTCCAAGTGACTAATTCCTGTTTTATGCGTAGATATGTCCCGTAAACGTGACAGAATCAGATGTCTTTTCACGGGAAATTCCCCGTCATCTGTATTCCTGTCTTCATCGCCTTCATTTAGTATACAATGCATGTCATTATCATTCATAATATTATGACTGTTGTTCACTTTGCGTAGGCATAATAAATGTATATATCTAATCTGTTCTAGACGAATGCATGCCTGTAACTTGTCTGTAATATATGTTAACAAATGAGGTGATTCTGAGAATTTTATAGGCAAGTAAATTCGTCTTTCATCGACTGTCTGTCTACTGGTTTGATAACCTGGCTTTTGTTGTTGTTGTTGATATTGGTAACAGTAATACTGCCTGTGGTATTGTTGACGTTCTTGGTCATTATCACAATCCCCATAGTCGACTCGTCCATGCATTTCAGCCAATAGCGAACTAAACTTTGATGATGCAG